TGAGCAGAAGCAAACAGATGGTTTTTATTATCAAAACCAAACAACTTTTTTTTTTATCTTTCAGCATCACTTTCCTAGAAACATTGAATTGATGCAGGAAATCTGAATATCATATTATTGTATTTAGTATTTAATTTAGTTTGAAGCTGATTTCCCTGAAATTCTTTCTAATAAGGCCTGAACACTTGTTAATTCTTTAAATACATCAAATTGTTGAACCCACTCCCTTTTTCACTCACCTTTGCTAGTACACATTCTGCAGCTGCTCACAGCTCAGAAAAAACAGGTCCTACCCCTGGGAAGAGAGAGCATCTAGAGGTCCAGCTAGAGATATTTGGGAGAGTTTTAGTAGTTAAGCAGCTGCATGTCTAGTAAACCGGGAGAGAAAGTAAAATTTAGAATTTTTTTAATCAAACCTTTAAAAAAAGTTAATTCAGGATTAGAAAAACTTTGGAAACTTAGTTCTGACTTCTTTAGATATGTCTCAACATGACACATAACCCTGAATGGAAGCTAGATAAACCACACATTTACTTCAGGTTTTTTAAGATAAAAGCAGAAAAAAGCTTATTAAAATCTTTCCAGGCTGCTAATTTGAAATGAGCAGAATTTAACCTCTTTATATCCTATTTACAAATTTACCAGAGATTGTGTATTTGTTGAGGAAGAGAAAGATGATCAGCATAACCTAAGAATAGAAAAGATAAACAAAATAAAAAAGTGAACCCAAACCAAACCAGCCAGTGCACATTCAAGAAGTGAGAGAGAAATGCTCAACAGTTACATATTTAAAATTTCCTATTTCTTCTGTTTTGATATGAGAATGTCTAATAACAAAGCAAAAGGAGGCAATACTACCAATAATTATAACCTCATCCTGTTACTGTATTTGAGCTTATACAGCCATAGCTTAAAAGAAATGGGACATTTCGCATGAAGCAAAAATGAAACAGAGATATAAAAGACTAGTATAAGTATTTAAATTGCATTGGTTAAATTTACAGTGAAACAAGATGATATTGTTCCAGCCTATTAATCTCCCCTTTATTTCACATGTAAGGGAAAATTAGTAAGCATTGTAGTAAGCACTTTTTCAAATTTTTGTAGTTATATGCTTAATAGCTAAACAGAACCAAAGCTAAAACAAAGTTAACTGAATAGTGAGAGAAACTGGATTTTTGCTCGGGTATCTCTTTTGAAAACTCTGAATATATACAACAAGAAAACACACATTTTACAATGAGTGAAAAGATGACTTTTTACTAATCAATAAAGAGAGCTACTATTCTCTTCTACTTGATTGAATTGCTACACCAGAGATTTGCAATTAATTTGAACTCAGATTTGCTTGTGAACCACATAGAGGCTTTGGGATTTGCCTTCTACATCCTTATGTGGAGCTGCAGTTAATTCAAGTAACATTTTCATTTGGTTCAGAAACCAGGGAAACTTATTTCTCACTGCTCATTGTGTGCTTAGAATCTACCACAATGAACTTGTGGCAACCTTCATAAAACCAAACTCTCCCTTACTTGAGACAATATCAAACAGGTAATTGGACAACAAAATGTCTGTGCGCAGTGCAGGGTGGCTGTGTGACATCAGGGAACCTTCTTTGTTTGCTGTAGTTTGTAGCCCAGGCAAGTGTAGGTGTCAGAAACAGGCACCACAAGCTTCTTTTCTTACAGTAAAATGGCACCAGTGGTGCAAAATGAACAGAAAAAAAATAGCACTTGGATGTTCTGTCCCACGGGCTATGCTACAAAACCCCACGTTCTGGCAGATACTCTCCTGGTTCTGCCCCATAACTCCGAACAGATATTATCCACAGTCTTGCCAGACACCATCCTGCAAGGTAAACTTGAGACGATAAATCTTTCAACCTCATTAGTTATTAATAAAGAATACTGATGATTTTATCAGGGAAGTTTCTTTGTTGCTAATATACTGTAGGTTACCTCTGACCTGACTCCATGGAATGAGAATCGATATCACTGAGATGCCTTTGGACACCACATGAATGAGAATCACAGTATTATGGCAAGTGTGAAAGGAATGGAAATGCAGAGATGAGCAACTTTCACTGTGGAGAACCTCAAATCCAATTAGCATAATGTTCTTGGTTTGTGGAAGGCCCACTTCAGCAGCAAAATGGAGAACATGGAGAGCTCTAAAAATGAATGTACATTCTCAATTTCCACAAACGGGATTACACCAGGAGCTTGCAGAGCACTACACAAAGCACTGCCTAATCATCTGAATTTCAAGGGACTTTCTCTGTTCATTACAAGGCATTTCTAAATCTACATTTCAAGCATCATGTCATTTTGGAAAGTCCTCAAAAACTCTGAGATTAGTAATTTTCTTTACTCATGTTTGTCAATTTTCATTTCTTTACACAATGAAAATTCTTCACCATCCACTTGCTTGTTTCCAGAAGTACCCTAAATCTGCTGTTCTACACCATCCAGTGTCTTGAGATTAAACCAAGGTATGTTACCCAAAGACTACCACACCCCCTTACAGGACTTAGTTCTAATATGTTTGCTTGCTTAAAATGCCAAAAGGAATCTCTGCTAATACTTTTTGATATTATTTTCAACTTTACAGGAAAAAAAGTAGTACTTAACTCCTGACCACTTAACCATAATAACGGTGTAAAAGGACACATGCCTCATTATTTTGTCACTTTTAGCTGCAATTTTTGGACTGAGATTGGACATTCTGGACAACCAGACCTGATTGCTCACTTGTGGAGCTCTGACCTCAGCCCCAGTATGGCATTAGAATGTTCTTTGGAAACAGCATGAGTAAAGGCTGAGATTTTAGGGATGGGTTGTAAGATAAGAGGGAAAGGACAATGCATTCTTATCTGTTTTGCTGTTTTGTTGCAGGAGAGGCATTTAAAGCAACAGAAGTAGTCATCATTAAGTCTGGCACAGTACCATCTGAAAATAATTTATAAAAGCAGTGAATATATTGCCTAAAACACTGTACTAACAAGAGCTCCTGGCTGGGTTCCAGTGCCCAAGCTGAAAGAATCCCCTGACCCTGGAGGCTGTTGGATTCTGCCGGAGGCTGTGTCTCCTGTAACATCCTTAACACAAGAAATAGAACCTGATGATGTATTTTTATCATGATCTGTATGGACCAGGACAGATAGAATCCAAGCAATTGTTATGCCTGAGGTAAGTTTCTTGAACTAAGAGCTGCACCTACCAGAATACTGGAGTAATAATCAGAAATCAAACAGATGAACAGTTACAGAGGCTACTGTTTGCTTCAGCAACCAGTATGGAAAACATTGTGGAACACATTTAGTAAACCTTGATTTTACTTCAGAGAGAATCAAATGGTAGGGATAGTGGGAAATATTTGCAGAAATGAAAAATGTGTGTAAATCTCGGGTAGCTGGTTGTTAATTGCTGCCCCAAGTACTGTACTGAGTTCCGACATGTAAAATAGAACAGATCACTGATTTGGAATTGTTTCACTAAATCAGTATGGCCTAATGTTTTCTACTATGAAGAATCAATTATGTAATCAGCTGTATTTTTGCAACCTGATTAGGCACAGCAATCAGATGCAACTATAAAAAACATTTCACCCTACATCACTTCATCTCAAATGAAAAAAATTCAAGTTTTGTGTTATGGTTAAAAAAAAACTAAACAAACAATGAGAGGTCAGAATTTTATTTCCATGTATAAATCCTTGCGAAAACAGAAGTCCAAGCTTCAGCTTCTTATATGACTGTAAGACAAGACTGGCATTTAAAGAAATAGAAATAATGGTTGTTAAATCTGGCAAAGTACAATCTGAAAATAATTTATGAAGGCAGTGAATATGTTGCCTGAAACATTATACTATAGAACATAAAATTATGCAAAACATTTTCTGAGGGAAAAAATGCTTATTAGAAGACTTATTAAGTCAGAGACCAATTGAGGTTTTTTTTCCATCAGTACTTCAGTAGTTCCCTACCTTCACAATAGCTTCTTAGGATTACTAAACTATGTTTCAAATGAACAAAAGAATCATTAAATGTTTGGTTATTATTTCTTCAAACCTTTCTAACATATTTAATAACACATTTACTATTATATTTTGCAGAACACAGATTTAGCAGTGATACGATTTAACACAGAAGTTTTTTAAGCATTTGCTGTAATGAATATGAACAAATACTGAATACATTTGTCTTGCCTATAAACTTCCATAGCTCAGCTGACGTGGTATGTACTGTTTCCCAATAAGATAATACAACATATTCTGACATGATGATATGCAGGGATTAGGTGAAGGTTTGGAAATATCATGGGAACTGTCTTCCTAACTTATTTTTGTGTCTTGCTTCTTTTGCTTTTGCACACACAAAAGAACCAGACTACTTTTAAAAATATATGTAGACATCCTCTGATTCCAATTGAACATACACATTGGTGAAGCAAATGTATGAACTTTTAACTGCCTTGGACACCAATACCCAGGTATTTCCATTTTGAATTCTTTATGAAAGAGAATCTGAATGCCAAAATTTCTGGGAATCATGCAAGGCTATGAAACTTCCGCCTCAGTATCTGTAATAGCTACTTTTTGAACAAACATGTCTACAGAGGTATCTCTAGAGTGTGTTTAAACACAGCTGACTTTTTCTTTCAGACACAGTCCAAGTTAATTTAAAGTATGCTTTATATATTTCTCACTCTATTACTGAAGAGCACTTCAGAGCACAACTACTGAAGACTATGTCTATTCAGGTGTAAAAGAAAAGGAGTTTCATAGAATTTGTGCTAGAAGAGAACATTTTGAATTCTGATACTATCAAACTGTAACAACTATTCAAATTCATCTAATTAAAACTATAAAAAGAACAGAAACCTAGTAGAACAAAAAAAAGATAAGCAAAAATTTGTCTCAGTTAAAAGGATGTATTTCAGGCTCTTATCTATCACATTACTACTACTGAATACACTCAAAATATTCTCCAGCATACTCACCTCTTTTTGACGGTACTTAATTGCCAGTTTCAATCTTGCAAGATCATTACCACTTTGTTCTTCTATCAAGCTATTATCATCTCTGTAATTAAGAATAATTTCCAATTCCCTGGAACTCCGTGTCTGATCCAGAAGATCTTTTGCAAATTGCTTGCACTGCCGTGACAGTTCCTCATACTCTGACTTAAACTCATTTTCGACTTTACTCAGTTCCTGCAGCTCCCAGCTCAGCTGAAAAGCGGTAAGGAAAGGATCCTCACTGGACAAAGCAATCAATGATGGGCTCGCCAGAGCCTTGTAGATATTGAGTCTGGAGCGAGAGTGGCGGAGGCTGTCCACATCTGAGCTTGAGACACATTCCACACAGTTACAGCGCACCTCGTGCGGCCTGGGCACAGACACCCCCTTCTGCACCAGGAGCTTTATGATTTCGTAATTGTTGGTGTGGGCGGCCAGAATAATAGGTGTGATATCCGGTGTAAATTCTGAAAACTGCTTGTCCAGAAGCACTGGTGGCACCTGTGAAAGAAGGCAAAAACTCTTACAGGCCCACTCATTAAACTAGAGTTGTAGAAAATTAAGCTAGAAATGGTTTACCGGGTAATACACTTACTTCTGGATCTTTATTTCTGTCCAGAGTTGAAGGAAACTCTTTAAATATAACAATTCAATTAGCTAAGATAGTATCTTTCCAGTTAATGAATTGCTATAAACAGGGTGTGATCCTTCACAGAACCTGCTTATACATTAACAACCCATGGACTTATTGGAGCAAATTATTAGATAAACAAGGACAAGTTAGACACAAATGCTCCTCCCCAGTCCCTTGAGGTGAGCAAGATGGAAACTTTTTCTTCTCTCTCACTGGTTTATCTCAGTTTCATAGGGAAGAAAATACATGGGGGGCATAACTGTGAATCTCTGAAGAAAGCAATGACAAGGACATAGGCAATTGAGATTTAGAAAATAAAATGGTCAAGTAAATGAGAAGAAAATGAGTAAATGAGAAGAAAATATGCGTTTTCTTAAAGAGAATTTTCTGTTGAAAATAAGGCTGTGTAGACAAACAGACTTGCTGCAAAGAGCTTAATGTCTTAAGCTCAGTTCTACATTCACCAGCACAAAGAAACATGTTCTGTTTATAGGAAAACAGGGGAGTTAGTAGAAAAAAGGTTCCCAGAGACCATTTTTAAAGCCTCTTCTGATATGCATTTCTGTTTTTTTCTGTCATCTTTATCAGAAGACTGTAAGGTTTTTAATTTTAAGCTTGTCTCTTTATTTTACAGTACCAGATTCTAAAGTCTTTCCCCGGTCAAGACAATTTGTTCAATTAGTATGACTAAGAATGTGAGTGTAATTAGCCAATGCCAATCAAAAAAATGATACTGGCATCATCACTTACAGACTGACTTTTGTCCACAGCTCAATAACCAAGTACAAACACAATCCACAGAGCACCACGGCGAGACGCTCTGAGGGATGTTCTTTCAGGAGGAAGAAAAAAGGAAAACATTTGACTCAAAGTTTTCTGAAGGCTAGAGAAACAGATGGCCATCGCAGGGAGGAAAAAAATTTTGATGCAAGTCTCATAACAGCACCATAACCTCACCGCCAGGTGGAAGAAGCACAAGTGGAGTGGGAGGGTAAAATGGGAGTGGAAAGTCAAGACTGGAGATCTGGCATTCAGGATTGTAATCACACATCCCTAGGGAAGCAAAACCTGCCTAGCCATAGCATATTGCTGACCTTAAGTCGCTGTGCCAGATTCTGAGAAGGTATGTGGAGTCAACAGGCAGAAATTCCTTTTCTCCCCTCTCATGCACTCAGACATGGCTTGGCATCGAGTCAGGCTGGCACTGAGTTTGTTTTAGCACAGGACTGTGGGCTGATTGAGCTGGCACATCCACCCTCATGACCCCATGCAGAGGGTGCAGCTATCCTCAGAGGTGGGTGCTTACAACCAGTGGTTCTGAGCCAAGCAGCTTCTGTACAACTTCACTTCTGCTTGCTTTATTCTGAGGTACAAACAGCATAGCATGTGTAGAGAAACACTGGTTACATATTACTCATGAAGTAAAGAACCCAATTGAGAATATACTGAAGGTATATATGGATGGAGGGAACACTTGGGTACAAGAAAAAACAAAAGCTCTGTGTGCTGCTCCTGGTCTCAGCCCCAGCACCACAACTATGGACATGTGACTTCCCAGAGAACACTGTGGCTCTGCCCGTGATGCTCTGTCAGGTCTCTTCCAGGGTACCTCTGGGACATGTGTCCCCTCCTGGCTGGACACTACACAGAGCCCACCTGAGGATGCCCAGGTGCCCCAACCACATCATTATTCCTGTCCAGTGTGAACTGGGCTTGAAATCCATGTATGTTTTCTCTCCTGTCTTTGGTGCCAGTGGGGGAAGTGAGACCTGTTTCCTCCCCCAATTCTCTCAGGTTATTGCAGTCTTAGATTTGCCTTGTCATATTATATAGGAAAAAAGAGAGCACTGTGTGCACACAAACACACTTGTTATGTTCTCTAAATTAGTAGTTTGGCCAGTGATTTTGAGACTAGAACAGCATGAAAACAGTTGTAGAGATTCAAACTTTGCATTAGTAGAAATGAAATGTTGGGTGATCATAGAGCTGAAAAAGGTTTACAGAGAGGCATGTGTTGTGTTCTGACAGTGTCTGCTACAAGCAGTGAGACTGCCTCTTGGCCTCAGGTTTAGGGTACCAGAGAGCAAAGAAGAGAGCTGCAAGGGGAGAAAACTCAAGGTCAGAAAGCTGTAACTTCAAACTCACTGACTGCTCAGAGTATAACTCTGTCACTTCACATGTTGCTAGTTTTTTACTTTCTGACAGTACTGAAGTAACATTTGCTTCAAGCCCTTCCAGAACTGAGGGCTGTCCTAAACAGACTGTCAGCTGCAAGCTCTGAAAAACTAAGACACAGCTTCAAATGACATGGCATTACAGTGACTGACTTGTACATGGGGTCCATTTCCTTTCAAGCTGCTTGCTTTTTCTCATAGCTTATCAAAACCTTTCATCTTAAGCTAACTCAGATTCACGGCCAATGCACACATTTTGGAATTCATCACATCAGAATTTACCCAAATATAGAAGCATTCATTAAATCTTTTCAGCCATAACTTACAGAAACATTTAAACTTAATGGCAAATCCTAAAACATCCACTTTAATTACATCATGACTTTAACCCTTGATCCTTTCCCTTAAAATTACAAAATTTTAAGATTTTGTACTAATTTAAATGAAAGAGAGAATATTGAAATAATAAAGTCAAATAATTCCCTCATCTGAAGCAAATTATTCCCACATCTGAACTTATCCTTTGAACTTATCTTTGAAGTAATGAGCACTCTCATGGCATTCAGAAAATTTCAACATATAATGCCTGATACAGAGTACTTGCTCTTAAGTTATCAGACTTACAATGAATTTTACTTTCAAACTACTAAAAATAATTCCCTTTAAAGAGAACCAAGCCAAATAACCAGCACACACTGATATTAGCCCCACTACTGGAAGCCTTGACAGAACACTCACAGAAAACATTTGAGTCTTCCTTAAATCCTAGAGGATGGAAAGGTACTAGGTTTTTCAGTCACTGTGACTTCTCAAGGCTCAGCAGTAGTGTAACTAATCATACATTTTGGAGTAGCATGCTAAGTTTGAGGCTGCTTAAACTTGGCGAAGTCAATTTTTGCCTTCTTACACTTTGTGAAGAATTTCTACTTCAACACTATTTACAGAGCTGAACATATATATATTTGTTATGAATGTCTATGTGATTATTAGACAAAAAAAAAAACCCAAAAACCTGAACAGAAAATAAAGGATAGTTCAAAGTCTGAACACTTCAGTGCTCAAGGGCATGAGATTTTTTTGTAGCATTTCTTTTCCCTGCACTCACTGTAAGTGGGAATGAATCAGCCTGGTTTGGATATCTAACAATTCTTTTAGATACAAAGTGGAATGGTCCTCTTCAGTGTGTTTATATTCCATGTATGGTCTGTGTGAAGACAAGCTCTTTTGCTGTGACAGGAAGAGAAATCTAGGTTAAATTAATGCCAGTTAGGACTGAGATGTTTTCTTGTCCCCGTGGCATGAAAGGAGAGACTGACTGTTGATGATCTCTGAGACATCCAGGAAACAGAAAAATATAACAGTCAGTTGGAAAACAAAAAACATAAACTCTATGTGTATCTTTTTCTCCATCTAGATTTCTCATAATAGCTCTCATTACTGCAATATCTCAACAGAGAGACTGAAAACTACAGAGTCCATTTACCTGCTGTTTAGGTGCAAGAGCTCAGAATCTATGGAAATCTATTTGCTTGGGCAAACAGATAGGTTCCCTGACTCTTGTCCTTGTTTATTTATTTGCAATTATTTTGTCTTGTGTTTGATAATGAAGGAAAATCCCACTTGGTTTTAGGCAGTTAGGGGAATAAATTTCTGAGTCATGTCCATCATGACAGCATGATTGGAGGAAAAACCTAAAGCAAAGGCAAAAAGAATATATGACAGATAAGATGAATACATATGTCATGCAGTACCAGGTTATATAAAGAAATCAGTATTATTTAAGTGTGTCATCAAAGTTTCAGCTGCTTTAACACTAATTCTCTATAGCCATCATCAGTCAAACATCTTGAAAATGCTTAACTGTACATTTCTGTACAGCCCACAGCACATGAGTTATCCCTATGCATACATGGTTCCATGCTTTACATTCTGGTTTGTTGAATTCTTCTCTTTGGTTTGCTATTATTGTATCATTACTGTATCACCTGAAATACATCCAGGTTAAATAAATGGAAGCAGTTCCCCTGGGAAGGGTTCAAAAATTCCTCCTACTGCAACTCCTTTACCATGGACTAAGTCACCAATACACATCCAGATATACTGAATAACTTAGAGATATCATGTCAGGATAACTTGAAATCAGCTGTCACAGCACCAGAGAGGTCCTGAGACTCATGTTGAAACTATCCTCACAAGACACACAAACAGCAGGAGTGCAGTGGTGGCTCCTGATTGTCTCAAAGTGCTTTTTCCCACCCCAGGGTGCTCACTGGGAAGTGTACAGCTGGATATCAGGCAGTTGCACATCAAGGATGTAAGGCAGGCAAGTGGGTGCAAGTGCCCAAGGTGAGCTCAGGGACAGCACCATTTTCAAGCAGGGTGTGTGACACTAGCCATGCAACACCCATCTGGTACACTGTCATTGTCTGCCTTCCAGAGGCAACTTCCCTGGCCTCCCTGAGAAGGGTTCTACCTCTTTATTGTCCTTGAACTCATCACCTTTCCTAATGATAACTGCCACACTGTTAATCTGCTAAGTGTTATCTTTCATTAGTTAAAATTCTAGTTTTAAATGTCTAGTTTTTTTCTTTTTTGTAGGAAACAGACACATAACAAGTAAAAAAGAGGATCTTAGGCACTGAAAGCTGACTAATAACTAAATAACAGTCTAAGGACTAAATGCATATATTTTA